ATGATCCATGCGAGTAACTTTTGAATGGCGGCTCATTCACGAGGGGAAGGGGAAGCGCCTTTTTTGCAATTGGGCGAGTTTTCTGTTGACCTCTAGGTAGTTCAAAGAGATCTTGGCGTAGACCGCGCGAACATTTCCTAATTAAGCTGTAATCAGTCTATACTGGACCAGCGCAAGGAACTTCCTTGCACAACGCGGGTTTTTTTTTGCGAGAGCAGGCTCTACCGTTTTGAAAAGATTTCATAATTGTCTAGCGTTGCTAATATGCACATCGCCTCAGAGCTTTTTCTGGATCTTGAACTGAAAAAATGGCATTAAAACCAATGCCATTTCTTGTTCAAAGGAGCAAATCTTCCAAAAGTAACACTTTCTAAACTCCCAGATTTATTACATGCGTTGTCTGTGAGTAATAGTGAATGAATAATCACATAGAGTACCAGCATCATTAAATCAAATGTATCATGCATACTGACGTGAACAAGCTATTCAGAAATCATAAAGGAGCGTTTTTTTATTGAACTGCTCTGAAAGTATTTGTTTGACCACTTCCGGCAAGTGAACGTGGTACAACATGGGACACGCTCACTATTATTTCTGACCAGTGGGCTCCTATAGCATTGGATTGCCTCCTCTGAACTACAGGTGTGGCCTACTTGCGTCTGTTTCACAAATTTCCCTTTAGATTTTCATACAACTGTACTAACGTTGGGATAGGTTCGGATAGCCTCTGAAGTATCAATTTTTGAAGCTTCTAAGTGCTGCCGAAATCTGTGCTTCTCCGGTACAAAATAGCTTTCAACCGCAAAAAATAAAATAAAATGAATTTTGTGACACAGAACGTTTGAAAAGTTTTGAATTCGGATAAATATTCTGCGCTTTCAAGCATGGTTTAGTATTTGAGAGCTTTGGTTTCAATTTAAAGCATCACCATCACCTGCCTTTTCATCATTCGAATTTCTTGGAATTTTGGAAAAGACGTTCATAAGAGAACGTGAGGTTGCCTCTTGTCTAATATCAAATTTGGACCGTAAAGTGATTGAAAGTAAATTTTAGACGCTTTTATTTACATTTGTAGGTTATAGTAACTTCATCTAAAGCATCACATCAGAGATGTTGCTGTTCATGCGTATTGATGCACTTAAAAGAGCGTTACCTATAACTACTGCTTTGTGAATTCTCGTATATGTGTACGAATATGTAATCTTAGGGAAAAAAACAGAATGCATGAAATCTCAGGCGGACCCTTTTTATAGTTGCTGAGACTTGCCTTAAAGTGTAATAAATGCAGTCATGTAGAAGCTTGGAGAGTATATAATGAAGCCTAATATCTTATTGTTAGAGCTATACACTATTGATTTCACTAAGGCCTCTTGTCATTTACAGTTAACCATATTAGAACAATTGCCTGCCTCTCTTGAGCTTGAAATAAGCTCACTAGCCTGAATTCTCCGTGAAAATACTTGTTCTTGTGATTTTAGCTTGAGAAATCTACTTGTTTACAAGACGCGTCAAGCTAGTAATTGCATCACATAAGTCTTTTATTACAAAAGCAAACGCTACGAATTCTTGTTTGGCGAACGTAATTAGCTTCTGTGATGTGTCTGAGTCCCCCGACTTGTTACCCGGGGCAACCCTCATTGAAACCACCGCTAAAGGGCCACGTTGTTGGTTCATTGAGCCTGAGTAGCCACATGCACTGCCTCCTACACTTTTCGTGCTACGACTAAGTTGTTTTGCAAAGCTCTCTTCTAGGACCGACAGAATGAATGGGGTGCGGTCCTTCAAGTGAAGTGCACGCTTCGACAAAGGTGGTGCCCTCCCTCGATTGTCCAAATTCAAAAAACGTCGCCAAATGTTGTCAAACACAGCAGAGTGATTTACATTCGGTCAGGTCTGATCATTCAGGTGAGTTTGATCTTTGGAACTACATATAAGGTCCATACTTCACAAACTTCCGGTGAACAACCGTTATTCCGCCATACTTTTTCGATCCGAGTACATATGGCTTGCTTATTCCTAGCTTCCACGCTGTGACGTCATTAATGCCTTTCTAAAAGCTCGAAATTCTCAATTGCCTCCAATTTTTGGCGTATTTTACAGTTGCAATTCATTCGGAAGCATTTTTGTCTTTTTGTGGTCATCACATTAATGGAGTTTCGAAGTTTAGTCCTCGAGATTTTTCTACCAAAAGAAATCTTGTTTTTGCCAATGGATATGTTTTTTTATAAACATAATCCCTTGAAAATTCAGTTGTAATCCCTGCTATTCATGAACGGGTATGCTGGATAGTATCGTACCTACACATATAAAATGATTGTAGATTCTTCATTCAGTAGTATGGCTTTTTTTCGAATAAAACATGTGTAAGAAATAGGGTGTTCATTGCATATAGCAGAAAATATCGGAAAAAAACCTAAACGTTCCTTGGGTTGTTAAAAAATTTAAACATATATGTGCAAGACTCATGGATCAACATAATGTATCTGTGAAATGTAAATCAATATGTTTTGATTTTCAGTAGCACCGCTCATTCCTCCCCTGATTGGCAAGAAGGGGAACAAACTCGAGGATGAGCGACATGTTCCTGAAAATGATGATCATTCGATTGAATCAACTAGCGTAAGTTCTAGCTTGTAATCACAAATGAATTTATTACCTCAAACTCTCAAAAAGTATGCTTGAACTTTGTAGATGTCGTATTACAATTTTCTATCTTGCATTTAACTCACAAAGTACAAAATCAAAGTGAAAATACCATAGCAACTGCTACAATATTAGTACTTTCATACTCATAAGAATTTTCGAAAAAAAAAACCGTAGAACTTCTCGTGTCTTGGCTATCCATTTGCATATGCTCATATTTCATTTGGTGGTTTGAGAGAATGATTTAGTGTGTTTTGAGCTTATATAATAATCTTCTAGTTCACTTCTCTTATTTTAGAAGCGTTATTCAAATTTGCTCTTTTATATTGCTTTTTCCACAATTTTGTAATTTTTACTACAATAGCTTCTCCAGCTTTTTCTGTATGTCGTTAGATTGGCCGCGAAAGAAGATTTTCAGCCAGGTAGGCCATAAGCAGCGTATTCACTGGTCTTGTTCAGGAGAATCCGGAAGTTCCTTGAGCGCTAAGGTTTATACAATCAAAAGCCAAAAATATAACTGTTTAGTGCATTTTATTGATATTACTAAAAATTCTATGTGAGCATATCTTATAGAAACTTCTTGAAGGCCTGCTGCTGCTCCCAGACACCTTCAAACGCATTCCTCCCTTTTCTTCATAACCTCAAAGATCTGATTCATTGATCAAACATCACAAATCTTGACATAACTGCTACGAAGCTTATTCAGGTATTCGCGACCAAATTTGATTGAATTGCACTCTCTCTAATAAGTCAGCTTCCTGAAATAGCAACTGAACTTTTCATGTATGCTGTTATAGGATCATGATCTTAGAAAGTGCATTAGCGCTTTCTTTCTCGTTACTGAGTTATCTATAATCCTCGACTAAAGTTTATCTCATTTGAAGTGCTAGTGTTAGTTATTTGTAATGGTCCATATTCTGACCCTTTCAGACTGAATTGCTCTCAAAGCCAGAAACTTCTTTTCTATTTTTTATTATCTGCATATCAGCACATCAATACTGGAGATAATTTTTGGAATCTTTCGACAATCAAATCGATTTCGTTGGGTTTCCATTTTTTTTTATTTTGGGCCTATTTCTATTTTTCTAGATCTTTTAAGCGCGTGTGGATCCGCAAAAGTAAATTTTGATAAAGATGATGCGTCTTAACTTCTGATTATAATCTTTCCATAGCTCGGCTTGTGATAGGCAGAAACAAAAAACGAACTCCAGTTTACAAATGAACCCTTATAAAAATTGGTCTAAAATACGTAAATAGCAGCTTAGAACCACTACATCTGAGACTAGCCTGAATTTTTTTTTGAAGAAAAAAAAAACGATATTTGCGCATATTATGACGGCAGTCGAAATTTTCATACATAAACGGTCATAAAAAGCAGTGTATTCAAAAACTCTTTCAGACTTCCAATCCTGTTATGTTGTTCGTATAGACCAGCGAAAATTTCTCTTACTAAAAATGACAACTGCCCAGGGTCAACGTGTCAGCAATTCATACCTAAATGGGAAACAAATTTAGTAAAAACCGACGGGTTTTCATAAGGAACACTGAAGGTTTTGCAACTCGACCTTATTCAAACAGCGTTCGTTGGAGCTAAAATCTAAATTTCCTCCTACTTTTGGCGCAAATCTTCTAGCTCTGTCTCAGGAATTCAGCCTAGCTTTTGAGCACAACTCTTCAGTATTTCTCATTGCCTCAAGCTTGTTATACTTTGATTTTGAGCTAGAAGATACATAACCTTGTACAAATACAAGTGCGTCAGATTAGTGCTGTGTAAATAAATGCTGTTCTTTGCATAATTTGATAGTGGCATACTTTGCCTTAGGGTGCTTAAAAGTTTGAGAAATACTGGTGATTCAAATTCTGGTCAGATTTCAGAGCAGTAATCATCTGCGAATCAAGAGAGTATGAGGATTTTTTGTACTTTTTTTTTCGCAAAATTCTTAAAAATGCCTTAGGGCGGCCTGCATTAACATCCCCGCCGGGCAAGGAATCGCAGCTTCAGAAGAAAGCTTCATATCCTAAAGCTCCAGATATCTGGATTTCACGCTGTCTAACAACTTTGGAAGTTTTCGTTAACTTTGAAGGAGAAAAATGACTTTGTAAAAAAGACGTCCAGCCGCGGGGGATTATCAGGGGATCATACAAAAAGGCGGAAAATGAAATGTTGCTTGTACAGCTTCTTGCTCCCGTTCAAGATATTCATAGTGAAGGATGGTGGAAGTACTTACGGATAGGTAAATAGCGTGCAATCCAGATTCCTGGAGCTTCAGGATATGACCCTTTCTTCTGAAACTGTGATCCCCTCCCGGCGGGATGTTAATGCGTGGCCCTAAGACAATTCTCAGTGGAAGAGCTCTATGTGGAGAGTAGACGGAATAAGGCAAGAACTTCCGCAGCCGTTTGGGCCAGTGATGAATGTCCAGATCAACATACTGAACATAGTGAGCATTAGCAGCGGGCTCATTGTTCACATAATGGCCCATATTGAGGTAGTTGAAGGGAGTATCCTAGAGTTTTGCTTTCTCCACTCATCTCATGTCCACAAAAACAAGTAGTACCTCCAGCCAAGTAAGAGACACATCGCGATAGGCGCAAGAGCGGTGTATTTAAAGCGAAAGCCGGACGTCATTTTCGTCAATGGTCACTCCTCCTGACATCGCAGCACAACGGTTTCTCATGAACTGTAAGAGAATTGAATCCCAAGGATCGTAGATTGCGCCTGGGTAGAGTGCAAAAACTCGACGAGCTGGTACTGGTCCTAAGATCCATCGATTTTCACAACTCACATCTCTAATTTCTTACTGGAATTGCAAACCTGTCGCAACGAAGTTCCCGTGACCACATTCTTTTATACTGCTTGGCTTTTTCACAAGCGCAAATGACAAATGTTTAGTTAGCAGCTCAGTGGCTCGAGCTCATTGCGCGCCTGGAATACGCTTGCGGTAGTCAAGTGGAGCAAATTCTGATGACAGTATTTTCAGCACGGATTGCAGTTGCGAATCTAAAATCAAACGTTCTAACGAAATGAACAGATAACCGTTCAATTGAAGGAACAAAAGTTTCTATACTGAACTCCACGCACACCTTGAGCGTTAAGACTAGGTTCATACTCCGGAAGTTCCGGAACACTTCTAGCACAGTTCGAGAATTGTGCTGGAAGTGTTCTGCATGAATCCAACCCACGAGGAGTCCTCTAAAATTTCTCACCGACTTCTTCTTTCGTGATGTTTATGGTAAGGGGTATGGCATTTCGATCACGTCGTGCAAGGTTTACGTGCAGAAGTGGAGCAAAGCGCCACTTATAGTCGACAAGCCAACCGCGAAGGCAGTGAGCAACATTGCATCCTTTGTTGGGCAGCCTCATGCGTATGCTTCTGCTGATCTAAAAAGGAGGCATTAAATTATTGTGAATGCTGCGCAGCAGTGCGGAGTTTTCAACACCATCCGCAAAACTTGCGCTGCTCGCCGTCTGCAGCAATAAAGCGGTGTTGCACAACACCATTGCAGCAAGCGGAGTTTTCCAATACCACTGTCTGCAGCAATAAAATGGTATTGCACAGCACCATGGCAGCGAGCGAAGTTTTCCAACACTCGCCGTCTGCAGCAATAAAATGGTGTTGCACAACACCATTGCAGCAAGCGGAGTTTTCCAACACCACTGTCTGCAGCAATAAAATGGTATTGCACAGCACCATGGCAGCGAGCGAAGTTTTCCGCCACCATCGTCTGCAGCGATAAAGTAGTGTTGCACAACATTTTCTACCAACACCCGCAGAACTCGTTGCCGTTGCCGTCTGTACCGATAATTGTAGCTCCGCACTATGTGTAGGCATAACCTTGTTCATTAACAACCGCAACGCAACTATTCTTCTGAATCAGAGAGACACTCATGGCTTAACAGCTGACTGCCCATCAGCCCGCTATGAGTTATAATTAAATACCTGTCTACACCAGGGAGAAATGTTTTGCAATGTCTGCAGCAACGAAATTGTTTTGGGCAACACATTGTTGCGAATAAAGTTGCGCAACACCACCCGCAACAACTGCGCTCGTCTCTGCAATAAAATTTTGATGTTGCTCGGCACCTTTTGGAGAGAGCAAAGTTGCAAGTATCCTCGAATCAGAAGTGCAAAACACCGTCTGCTGCTAGATTGCTGCTCACCTCCCTCAAAGATATTACTGAATTTCTGTTTCTAGCAAGAAAGTTGAGCTCTGTGTTTGCAACAAGAAAGTTGTTGCTTAAAGTTAGCGTACACCCGAAATCTAAGTTACCCAGATCTCTATACGAGTATATGTAGGGCCCAGAAGAAGACCAACTGCGTTGGTCCGGTCTCCCAATGTTGTGTCTAAGCGGAGAAAACCCGCCTGATTCTCTTTGCGATCCGCCCCTTCCTTTGCGGTCCGCCTCCTTCGGGAGGATCCACGGCAGCGTTAGCTGCAGATGCACTTGTTGTTGCAGTTGCATTGACATCTGCTGCATCAGCTTACGCTGCCGTGGATTCGTCCGAAGGAGGCGGACCGCAATGAAAGGGGCGAAACTCAAAGAGAATCAGGCGGGTTTTCTCCGCTTAGAAGCAACATTGGGAGACCGGACCACCGCAGTTGGCCTTCTTCTGGGACCTAGATATACACGGTATAGACAAGTGGGTAACTTAGATTTTGGGTGTATGCTGCCTTCAATAATTACACCCAAGATTTCTGCAATATATACTCTTGACTCATCTCTACCAAATCTACCAGCACTATTGTTTTATCGTCGAATAGTGTCTTTGATATTTGTACTCTTATGTAGAGCTAACGTATCATTCCATTTACATTTTACGCATGACATGGCTACCTCTGCCAATGGCTTTCGTTTGACATATGATTCGTTCTTCGCTTCGCTCTTATTCCGCAGACATTTTAGTAGTCGTAGTTTGTTTTTGCTTCTAAGTGCTCCGGTGAAGCAGAAAAGCTTAGCGATTTCTATATTTGGGGACTTTGCAGAATTTTTTTTTCGAGGGAGGGCCACAACTATTCTAATTGAAGTGAATGATTATGTTAGACAAGTCCTCCATGATTTTTTCAAGCTCTCCAGATTTTTTGCAACATTGCAACTCTAAAAATAATTTTTCCAAAGATACTCTTGTAATCACAAAATTTAGAAAACTACTTTCAACATTCAGCTACAAAGGCAATTAAACTCGTAAATTTTTCACTCAAATCAATCGCTCCTGAAATTTCTCCACCTGCTCTTTTTATTAATGGAGGATTACAAATCTAATTTACAAGTAGAATTTGTCCAATTTTTTGCACTTTTTACTTTTTTGCCAAGTTTGGGTGCGACAGGACAATTACGAAAAAAAAAGCAGATACATATGTAGGTTTTTACATGTAGTAAAACGTTTCCATTTTCTTCTGGATTTACTTGGACATTTGGAACGAATTTATGGAGTTCATGAACGTAGGCGAGAAGATCAAAGAAAGAACAGAAAACAGCCAGTTTTTAGATGAAACAGAGAACATAATCTGTTTTCTGCAAATGCAGGATGGTTTAGCTTTCTTCTTCAAAAGTAAAATTGGATAATCCATTTTCGCCGCCATATACGTAGATCGAGAACAGTAGTAGGAACCCTCATTTAGCATATAGTATTTTATTCTTATTATTTTGGACACAAATCAGCTTTCAAAACCGCTAATGCCAAAACTGCTCTAACATCTGCAAATTTTACTGTTAAACGGAAATTCTGCATTGTTTTTACACTTCTAAGCATTTATGATGTAATCCATTTCCTACGATTATACGAAGCCCGTTTCTCTTTGGTAAACAAGCGATATAAAATGAATCGGCCAGTATAGCTTCACTGATTGCTATTTACTCATTGTTGACCGCCGACAGCTTATCAAGAAATTTTAGGTTGCAGGGTCCAACAGAATAATCTTGATGGTGTATGGTTTTTCTCAATTAATTGATTCAAAAAATATAAATATATGCAAATATTCTCGACGGTCTCTAATATGTACTTACCTGATTATAGAAATAATCAGAGATCGTTGAAGGCGAAGTAAGCCAATATTTGATTTTCTCCTTTTTAATAAATTATCAGTTCGATATTACTATTTTAACTTTGTGCTTTTCATCAAAAACATTGTATATGAGTTTCATATGTCTTACATATTATATGAGCAAAAGAGGCCCATAAGATTTATATGGATCAATTTATCGAATTTTCAAAAACTGTTTTTTTTGGTTCTGGATGCCAGCCATGACTAGTGCGCTTGCTTGGAATTTAACTTTCTTGCTTGCTTCCAAGTCGTAAAAATGGTTTCATTCGTGGTAACAAAGTACTTACTGTGCAAAGGGCAATTTCCATCTTCTGAATTTTCCCGGCTCATTTTTTAGAATTTTGCTGACAGATAAACAACCTACAGCTTGCACAAGCCTCTAATTTCAATATCAGTATCGAAATACGACGACTAAGCGCAGTTACCACAGTTACCAATATGGTCAGAGTTACCCAAACAAGCACAATTAAGTCGAGATTGAAGCGCTCTAAGTATACAGCTTTTGACCCGAATGAGTTGATTGGCAACAAAATTTTTATAATAATAATGCGGTACTTGAAAACGCAACAGCTTGAGTTTAAACCTCCAAAAAATTCTCTTTGCTCCCAATCAGGATTTCGGGGATACAAGTACGGATGCAAGAATTTGCTGCCAACAAATTCTAGATTTTTATTTCATATTTTATGACTCCTCGTCAATTTTGGCTCATCACTTCTTAAGTCTCATTTATACATAAACTAGCTGGCAAACCCGGCTCCGCCCGGCCCTGTCATTATTATATTCGTAATCAGCATGCTCGATTACCCCCCTGTGCCAACTCCCAGCCCCGTAGCTCAAATTTTGCAAAAAATCGATAAAATCGATATCGATCGATAACGAAAAGTAGCCTATGACACGCTCCCTGCCCCGAAGTATATGTGTGCCAAGTTTGGTCCAAATCGGTTCAGAAATAAAAATTTCTATTCCGCACATACGTGCAGACAGACAGACATACAGACAGACAGACATACAGACAGACATTCAGCTTTATATATAAGATAACTTACGAGCCCTTCTGCTTTTTCATTTCCATTTATACAAGTATATAGAGGGACGTTTTACTACATAGGTCTTCCCTGAAATTTTCCTCACTCAAAAATTTTTTTTGCTTTTATTCAGTTTCAACCGAAGACCTATATTTATTCACGTTATTAACACATACGGCTGGTTTAGCAGGCTCTCGGGAATGTTGCAAAAAAATGGAGCAAAAACAAACAGAAAGAATTATGATACAATTCAGTTTATAGCTACCCGGGAAATAACACGATTGCGCCATTAAAATCTCCATAAAGTTTGTTTGTAGTGATTACCTTAGCAACAACGCTGTATGGGTATAACCATTTTGTAAGGTAGAAAGAAAAATTCGATTGTCACTGATTGCATCTTTGTATCACATATTTTTCATCTGAAGTGCTGAATTCTAACATTCCATGCAACAGTTTTCAGAAGGGGAAAAACTTTTTCGACTTATTTAATATTAATGCTTATCGAATCTTGCTAACTTAACTTTGCCTTTCAACGAGTTTCATTTGTAATAGCTATGGCTTTACTGAAGTTTCCATTTCAGACTCCGAAGCACTAGATTGTTAGACTTTGGGAAATGCATGAAATTCTGTCACTGCTCACATGCTTTTTACACCTTCTGCAAAATTTGGATTAATTTCAGAGTAGCAGAATACCCAAACAAGTCTTTCTGCAACCATTCTACGCATTCTACTCATAATTCCAGGCTCTCCTCATAACCTGAAATTTCCAGCTCTAATCTCATCCGTAATAATTGGATTTGCGATTATTTCAATCAAAGTCTAGTAATTGGTTTTGCATGAGTGCAACGCTTTTTCACTCAAGCATGAATTTTATTATGGACCGAGCATCGGGAGAAAAAACTCTGAACTGTTCGCAATCTCAAGAGAATTTCTTCAGTTGCCTAGACGACCATCTACCGCAGCGTCGTCATCTCTGGCCTCGTTTATGCAAGTGCTCCCTAGTATAACTTATGAGTAAGCACTTTTATATGAATTCTTTCTTCAAAAAAATGATGTTTGAATCTACTGAGAATCTTTTTTATTCAGCACGATTGAAGCTCCACGGCCTGCTGCTCACGTTTTCACTATAGACACATCTCGCTGCAATAGCAATTATCCAGTCGTCTCTTTATGCTCAAAATTATTAGGATTCGAAGAGGTAAGATTTACTGTATCCCTTGAAATTACGCATAAAAAGTAATAAAATGTAAACAAAGTACATGTGTTTCTGTAATTAATTACCAAAATTTTACGTCCTCATCTCTCATTCAACTTGCAGTTCTATTTTTCATACAACTAAGCTCAATTACATACATTGCTAATCGCAAAATCAGAACGAATGAGGGAATGAACTTTCTTCACAAAAGGCAATGTACTGTTACCGAAATCGTAATCGTGGCCTGTAAAAGTTCATATTTGTGGTTCAAATTTTCATTTTATTTTGCTTCCGAGCCGTTCTAGGAAATCAAAAGGAAAGATTTTGATCCTTGCATGAATTAGAAGTCTGAAACTGGCAGTGAGAGACCTGGGCTACAATTATTTCGTTCTACTTCATTGTTTTTAGTTCCCCCAAGGTCGAGATGACCAGGTCCCGTGTGATGTCTACTGGCACAGTACTGGTTTTCCTGACGTCAAGGCGGTGCCCATATCATCACGTTCTCGTGTCAATAAATTTCCAGGTATGCTTCGGTTTCTTGTTTTTAAAGAGCAAAGGCTTTGTGTTGAGCTCAAGAAGAGTTCAAGAGTTGATTTGTAACTCTAGAAGAAATCCTTTCAAATTATTGATTTGGCAGGTTAATAATTACCTTCGCAATATTTCAGGTATGACGGACCTCGCCAAAAAGGTAGCCTTGACACATGCTATATCGTCAATGCAAAAAATTTTCCCCCATGACTACAATTTTTATCCTCAATCGTTTTTTCTACCAGCTCATTACGAAGAATTCAAGGTAAGCAAAATTGCAGCAATTGATCGTTCCAAAAGTTTTATCGCATTTTCTGCCTCATAACCATGCTTATTCTGTGTGATTGGTTTTTCTCACAGCCATCTAAGTAAAAAAAAACACAATTTCGCTGGGGGACAGCTACACTGATTACACTTCTTGTGCGCATGCTTGAACTCTCTTGCCAGGCCTTGTCTCTTAAAGTTTCTCTCCATATTTTCTATCTTGACTTGCGGCTACGTAGCTTCTGAGAGCTTTGCATCCTTTGAATTCAGCTTTGACACGTTTCTGCTTTCGGTAAGTTATGTATCAAGTACATAAAAAGCTACTCTTATTTCTCAGCATCGCATCAGAAACAGCTAAAGGTTCTCAAACTGCTGGTGAAAGTCTGCTTTTACCCGAGTCTTCTGTACCATGAATTGAGCCCGATTGGTGCAATTTTCAACTTTGAAAGGCTATTCAATACTCAAACTGCGCCATGGCATCAACAGATTCTTAATCAGCTGTTTTCCAGGAATACTGGCATAAAACAAGAAGCCGACGAAGAGAAAAAGGATCTCAAGAAGAACAATTTTTCATTGTCAAACCGGATAGCGGTAATTCTTCATAACTGGTATAGACTTCCATCACAATGGTGCCTTGGTTTAGGAGCACAAGGCAGTGGGATTTACCTGATCAGCGATCCTAGTCAGATAAAAGATCCATCTTGTAAGCAACTTGTGCAAGTAAGTTTATTAGATTCGGCAAAACAAGATCTCTGTGGGATTTTTTGGACTGAAAAGAACATATTTGATCACTTCCTTCTTAGCATAAAATGTTGACGTTTATTTCAGGAATATGTTGCTTCTCCCTTCTTGATGAAAGACCAGCTGAAGTTCGATTTTCGAGTGTATGCCGTCATTAGGAGTATAAATCCATTGTCAATCTACGTATCTCGAGAGGGTTGGACACGCTTAGAATATTAACTTGCACTTTTTGTTATTTTACTCGTTTTAGGAATGGCTCGATTTTGCACGGAAAAATACAAAAAGCCGACCTCGGAAAATTTCGGAAATTTATACGCACACCTGACAAACTACTCTTTGAACAAAGTCAATGACGCTTATGTTCACTCAAACACACTGCATGATCAAGTGACTGGTACTAATACAAACCACTTTTCTTCACCAAAGTTAGATGGAAGTTTTTTGAGGTTCAAAGCGCCTTCTTTCGACAGTTTTCTCGCAAATGACAGCGTGCGGGATTCGGGCGAAGAAACTATGGCATGATGTGAAACTCATTGTGGTAAAGACTGTACTAGCGATGTTACCGGAACTTATGATACAGTATGAAAGAACCTTTAGTGGGATGGAAGGACCGCAATGCTTTCAGGTACCAAGTTCACTATATTTATCGATGTCAAACCGTTGAAAGCTTGAAAACAAAAAGTTTGATCGAATGTCTAACTTAATGTTAGTGTCAAAACACTATAACTTGCAAATAAAGAATTTTCGAAAAAGCTGGTTTGAAAACGCCCACTTTGCACTACAGTATACAACAGTCGCCCTGTGTTGCTTGTCTCTACGCGTCGCGCACACGCGCTCGTCCTACAATTTGCTTGGAGAGTAGAGGATATTAGGTCGCCGAAAGGTCATGCGCGGTCATCTGCAACAAATGCGCACCTCTTTCCATCACAGCTCGTGGAAGCAGTCCTTGGGCTGGAGGCTTAGGCCTCTTGCCCTCTGCCCGCAGGCGCAGAGTGTGTCGCACGCGACTGCGGTGTACAGAAATGCTATCGCAGCAATGCAGTAGCACTCGGCCCACACCTAGCTGAATCGTCACATCTAAAAAAAAGTTTCCCTTTTTGAAATTGTGAATACTCGTAACAATCACTGAAACTTGTGAAAAAGCCGACCATTTCCTTATAACCAGAATTTTGCTTTCAAGATTGTTGGCTTTGACATAATGGTGAGAAGTGATGGATTTCCGATTTTGCTAGAAGTAAATGCTTGTCCATCCCTGACCATCGACCATGGAGGATCTGACACTGAACCTCGACAAAGAAGTGTGGTGGATGAAGTCAGTTTCCTCTTGTTACGTTGCCTTTGCTATTAAGCAACAATTTAAGGTAATAAAGATACCTCTGGTAAGAGATACACTATTATTGGTCACAGGACAATTAGAGGATGGTCGAGTCAGGTGGGCTAGGCTTTGAAATTGTTGAAAGGGCAAGTTCCGTGGCTAAAAAATTGCTAAAACAAAACGGAGATATCGTAGTCAAAGTTAATGCCATTTTCTGAAATCATGTCTATCACGGCAATAGCATTAATAGTTGAAAGTGAAGTAATTTATTTTCAGCCCTCCTTCCAAGAGTGTATGGAGATCCACAGACGATTTATCTTCTACAAAAAGAAAGGCGCATTTGAGTGAGGTATAGAGATTGAGGCGCATTTCTCCCACAAAAACCTTCTTGGCCTTTTTCTAAAATATAAGTAAATTCTATTTCAGATCTTTCCCAACCGATACGGGAGACAGGCAGCATCTTTGCTTTTCTTAGACAGAGTTGTGTACATATTTATGCAATATGCTTCTTCTCAGGACGCCACACTCGTCCCATTATCGGGTATCAAAAGATTTGTGAAGTGAGTTGGGTTAATTTTGAAAGATAAGAACGCATAAGTAAAGATTCTAAAATAAACTGGTTAGCCTTGAAGATCGAGTTTGTAGGCGACTTTTTCGCATTCTAATGCGACAAGAAGATTATATGGTTTTATAGAAGAATTTGACGAAAAAACATTCTCGTACTGGATTATCGCTCAATGAAATCGCTTTGAAGGCAGCGCACACCGAAAATTCCGCCTTCGATGTTTTTGTCATTCTGGCCTTTCCGTGTCCCTGATTGCGGTTATCACATTAAAATTATCCAAAACCCCCAAAGTACCCTGGTTCCAGGGGACCCTCTCTTCAGAGGGACGACGAGTTTCGAATTGCTCGACCCCGTCGGCATGCCAGCGAGGAGCAGCTGCAACTGCATGACAGCATGCAGTTGCAACTGCAACTGCAGCGTACAGTTGTTTTCAATACGTGTTGGTTTTTTCTACCGCATGCCTTCCAGCCTCAACATGACTTTGGTTTGGTGTGGATTGGTGTGGATTGGTATGGATTGGTGAGGCGCCGCATCGTTTCGGGTTTGCACCGCGTTGCTTTTCACGGCGGCGCCGCACCAACCCACACCAATCCACACCAATCCACGTCATGTTGAGGCTGGAAGGCATACGGTAGAACCAATACGTATTGAAAACGACTGTATGCGGTCGTGGATTCGTCGTCCGTAGGAGGCGGACCGCAAAAAGCAATTGCAATGTTGCAAATGCAACTGCAACTGCAGCTTAACGCTGTCGTGGGTTTATCCGAAGGAGGCGGATCGCAAAGAAGGGGACGGAGCGTAAAGAGAATCAAGCAGGTCTCCGCTTACAAGCAACATTGGGAGACCGGATCAACGCAGTTGGTCTTCTTCTGGGCCCTAGATATACACCGTATAGAAAGCTGGGTAACTTAGATTTGGGTCTACGCTGAATTTAACAGGTACATTCGTTTTCAATACGTATTGGTTTTTTCTACCGCATGCCTTCCAGCCTCAACATGACGTGGTTTGGTGTGGATTGGTGTGGATTGGTATGGATTGGTGAGGCGCCGCATCGTTTCGGGTTTGCACCGCGTTGCTTTTCACGGCGGCGCCGCACCAACCCACACCAATCCACACCAATCCACGTCATGTTGAGGCTGGAAGGCATACGGTAGAACCAATACGTATTGAAAACGACTGTATGCGGTCGTGGATTCGTCGTCCGTAGGAGGCGGACCGCAAAAAGCAATTGCAATGTTGCAAATGCAACTGCAACTGCAGCTTAACGCTGTCGTGGGTTTATCCGAAGGAGGCGGATCGCAAAGAAGGAGACGGAGCGCAAAGAGAATCAGGCAGGTCTCCGCTTACAAGCAACATTGGGAGACCGGATCAACGCAGTTGGTCTTCTTCTGGGCCCTAGATATACACCGTATAGAAAGCTGGGTAACTCAGATTTGGGTCTACGCTGAATTTAACAGGTACATTCGTTTTCAATACGTATTGGTTTTTTCTACCGTATGCCTTTCAGCCTCAACATGACGTGGATTGGTGTGGATTGATGTGGATTGGTGCGGCGCCGCCGAGAAAAGCAACGCGGCGCAAACCCGAAGCGATGCGGCGCCTCACCAATCCATACCAATCCACACCAATCCACACCAATCCACGTCATGTTGAGGCTGGAAGGCATACGGTAGAAAAAACCAACACGTATTGAAACAACTGTATTTACAGTATCAAGTCGAAACTACAACTTGAGTGTGCATGTCACTGATGTTTCCATTACACAGTTACATACACTCAAAAAAAATCCATAGGATCTAAAACCCAGAATTAACAATTTACTAAAGTCAAGTCTAAAAAACATCAAATGAAGCACTGGTTTTTGAGCTTGAGCAGCCTGTTTTTGCTAGCATAGATAGTAAGACGAGAAATTTCGTCCCTAGGCATTTTTGATTATAGCTGTGTCATATTTTTAATGACCAGATAGAATTTCTTTGCAGAGATTGTGGATATGAAGGATTGTTCACTCCTGGAGGGCTTGAGAAGAAATTCTCTGAAATCTGTAAATATTATGAAGGAAACATTCAAAGCGAAAAGGGTGAGATCTCTAACAGCTTTCGTCGACCTCTTGCGAGCCTATGATTTTTTTTTCTTTCAGGTCTATTTTTTCACGGTTTTCTGTCGTTTATGATATACATAGCGGATCGACAGTTTAGTACAATACCATTGCTCAAAGATCGGCTGCAGTTGCTCTTTGACGCAGTTACGAATGCTCTCCGCAGCAAAGGTGTACGATCGAGGCGTTTGCGCCGAGAGGAATTTGACTCGAATTCTGGAGAGTAAGACATTTTATTTGGCTTCCCTCGTTCATGCATCTTAAAGGTTCACTCATTTAATTTCAGAGGAAAGAAGATATATCTTCTACCTTCTCGAGTGCGTATGAATAAACGACGTTCAAAATCATGTGAACCTTTAAAGGTTTGTTCTCTCTTAAATTCCATAGTCTAGACTTTATTGCTGAACTTGAAGCTGAATCAACTACTTCGTATAAGCAAGTGACCCTAACTTTTTGCAGATTGCCCCTCGATCACTGGACAGAAAACCTGATCGAAATAATAACAAGGAGAATCACACAGTGCTGCCACGAATTCATAAAATGAAATGAGGACGAACAGCAGTGATCATCTAATATTTATGTATAAAATTATGTTTCTGTATTCTAACATCATTGCATGTATAAACAATGAAGTTGCAAATGCCTGCTTTGAAAAAAACTCAGATAGAGTATAGGCGGATCTGGTCGTTGGGCAGTTTCATAGCACCCAACGTAATCGAAGCATTGAAAAAAAAATTCTGATTCTTGGAAGCACTGCATGAGACATATGACAACAGTTAGATACTCTTATAATCCGTTCATGGGTTATCAAAATGCTACTCAACAAGAATTTCAGAAGCAATCTAGAGGAGTGAATGAGTTTCGGCTCAGTGCCGGAAGTTTTGCGGGACTTTTCAAAAAGTTGAACGGCAGGTTGATACTAGATAAGAACTATTTTACTAGAATGGCTATAGTGTAATTATCTACTCATTTCAGTGGGTTTCAACACGTATAAATTTGTCCGATTAAGATCTAGCAAGGGCAGGATACATGATGACCGTGGCCATTCGTAATGAAACATATCAATAGATGCGCCTTATTACAAATTTGCTTTCGCTATCTGCTAGACAATTTCTTGAAATGATTTTTGAACTTCTTCCCAGATTTTTGCACATTAAAGCATCTTCAAAGTCATTGGTATCTAGAATTTTTCAAGTATAGCGCAACTGAAACAGGTCATCTACGCTCAGAGCAATTGCGCTCTCCTTCAAATGTTGTTTCGTGGAGCGAAGCAAAAATAAAAGCGGTGTTTATGTCAAAATTTTATGGAAAATGTTCATAACCCAATTCAGACAATAGCTTGGCAGATAGCAAAAGCATGTTTACAATCAGCGTTTTAAGGTTCTAGCGATATGTCTCAATACGAAAGAGCACGCACGCCCAAGTAACCTTCCCTTGTTAGCAGCGTTCGCCATCAGTATCAAGAAATTTGCTAGACATTTTTAGGAGTGTAACAGGAAAGCTTCACCGCAAATTGTGTTGAAAAATTGACAAATATAAGAATTGTTCGACAAGAAGTTGACGATCTTTAGCAATTCAGACTCCACCACGAGTGTGAATTTCAAAATTATGCTATAATGTTTTGGTTTGACGACAACTGTAATACAGCTCCAAAAATGCTTCATTCAATCGGTGTTTTCGTATGACTATAGCAGTTAGACGAAAATTCGGATTCAACGCTATATTGAAAACATGAATTTCGTCAAAAAATTTCGTGATGATGCCACTGAATAAGGGATGATGTCATTTGATGTTCATTGTGGCGACTAAGACAGTGAGCAAGACTCTTGTAAATGGTGAAAATATGCATTCTTTTCATTGTCTCAGAGTGAAATGTGAACAAGATATTGAAAATGAGTAAAAAAAGACCGCATAAAAGCCGTCACCGCTCTTTCTATCTCACTTCATAGCTTGTTCAAAGCTCACCAGTAGCCCTTCATATTCTTGTTTCCTCCCAGTTTGTCTTGATTGGAGCAGTTAGAGGTGTTTTTTTTGACAATTCAATATGGAAGCTCAAGCAAATAGCTGATCATACTACGAGCATGGGAGCTAAGTTTTCCATGCCCAATCAAGAGATGTAGGCTGGCAGGTAGCGTTATAAGCGCTTAGAATATAAAATCATTAAGGGTGGGAGTGAGAAGGTTCTGTAAAGACATAAGGTGATTTTACAATCTATCAGCTTACAGTTTCGGAAAGTAGAAGGAGATATCACTATAATTTGTAAGTGACAGAACGACGTTACATTATTTTGCATTGCCAAGAAAGCTTATAAGTAAGCGTTTTTGGGACAAAAAGCAGAGAGGATATTGTTTGGTCTGAAAATAGGTTTTTTCAAATCGACGTTTCCGATTTTCCGATTTTGGGTCAAAGGGGACATCGTATTTTGCGGAAGTTGGAGGGGCTTTGATTTCTGCATATTCGGAAAACCACCATGTGCCGAGTCTGCTGTAAGCTCACTCACTTGTTAGAAAAGTAAGGCTTAAAGTCTTCTTTTGTGGCTCCTAATCATCCGTTGAATTGATCTATCAACCATAAAATTGTCTAACGCACAGATGACCAAACTTTGGTTGCTTCTTCTCCTTTTTCATGCAGTGTCTGCGGGAAGGCTCACTGACGAGGAAAATGCAGAACTGAAGGAAAAGTGCGGTTCCGCCAAGTCACCAGGTAATGGAAGTTGAAGTACACGTGCGGACACGTTTGCACTTGTAGGAAACATGCTGAGTCAGTAACACGAACGCCTAATAATCAAATGCAGCGTACACCCAGAATTTCCCCTTCGATGTTTTTTGTCACTCTGAGGCCTTTCCGTGCCCCTGATTACAGTTATGACATTAAAATCCTCCAGAAGTCCCAAAAACCCCGATTCTCGGGGATCTCTGTTCAGAGGGCGGACGAGAAACTGCTCGTTCCCGTCGGCATGCCAGCGAGGAGCAGCTGCAACTGCATTGCTGCATATGCTGTCGTGGTTCGTCTTCCGAAGGAGGTGGACCACAAAAAGCAACTGCACTGTTGCAACTGCAGTTGCAGTTGTAACAGCATTGCAACAGCAACTGCAATGGCAGCTGCAAGTTACGTTACGTGGATTTCGTCCGAAGGAGGCGGAGTGAAAGGAAAGGGGCGGAGTGAAAAGAGAATCAGGAGGGTTTTCTCCGCTTAAAGCAACATTGGGAGAGCGGACCAACGCAGTCGGTCTTCTGGGCCCTAGATATACACGGTATAGAGAAATTGGGTAACTTAGATTTTGGGTGTACGCTGCCTTTAAGCAATGGCTTGTACTACCCTAAACTGTACATCGAATAAGCTTCTCTTGTAAAAACTACATTCTCAATAAACGGAAATGTGAACTTCGTGCATTTTCTAAATGGGTGTGATGTCAAGGATACAATCCATTCTCTTAAGTTAGTAATTTGAACACAAGATGCACATAGATAGAGTAAATGCACATAGATGAGTATGTTAATTTGCAAGTGTGAATCGAACAGTCTCTTGCTTTTATTATTATTTTTCCTTGCACAGAATATTCATCAGCTTCACGTGTGAGGAGGCGAACACCAGTTACAGTTTCTGAATATCCCTTTGCAGCTGCGTTGTCTCTACAAGATGGTTAGTGCCTGAAGTAGCACGTTGTTTTAACAATAGCTGAACCTGACTATTCTGCAGTGAATCCACTTATATATGCCATGTTTGGAACAGAAAAGGATTCTGACATATCCGATTGTAGCGGCGTGTTGATTTCACCTCGGCACATCCTGACTGCTGCACATTGCTTATACCCAAAGTTAGAATTATGGTGTCTTCTCAGGTACCTTTTTTTGACCAGGTTTTGTCTTCAGCTGTAAGCAAGTGTTGTAGCTTGCCCATAGCAAAACGCCCACCGCAGCGCGTTCATGTCTTCCTCCACAGCGAGTGCAACAATGGCGAATGTTGGGGAGACAAGGAAGAGCATAAAGTTGCTTCTGTAAGTAAAGCTAGAACCTGCATAGCTCCCATGCGGAAATGACAATTTCCGAGAGCTGCTTTAGATAGCAGTGCACTCAAGCTTCAAAGGTTGCGAATTTGAACCTTCAAATGACATCGGAATGATAGAGCTGGAAGAGGACGTGGATACTTCTCCTGTTTGCATGCCCGATGCGGATTCTGTGACTTCTGGCCAGAAAACATTCGAGTCTTTTGTATACGGAAAAGGAGGTAAACTCTACTACAGGGCGAAGGCCACGCCAGTTAGAGGCATTGTTTACCCAAGCGAGTTTTGACGTCGTTTAGTAACGGGGTCACTAACTAAGCAACGCCCAAGTCAGCTGGAAAAGATAATTTCCAAAACAGAAAAACGCCCCAGAAGGTGGAAGAGGCCAAAGTGCCCCCCCCCCTCCCCATCAGTGTGGGTATTCTGAAGATAGAAAGTCCATTACCAGCTCCGTTGAATCTAGAATTGTCAAGAATCTGCCCTTAGTTATGGTTAACAAATTTTCGACATTTTTATCTACCCCACACCCGCTTCCAAGTTCATCGTCTTTACAAACAGTTGATGGGCCTCTTCTAGGGCGGTTTCGCTCTTCGGAGTTCATTTTTTGCAGCGACTGTTGGGCGATTGTTCACTCAGGAATCTGCCATCATATAGCATAAAAATCTCAACTTTTTCGATGAACGGTGCCTTTGAGCAGAGCTCGCGATATTCATGCATCTGCCATCATTGTTTCCCCGTACCTCATGCGCTCACGGACTATAAGCGTTCGCTCCCACTTTGCTTGGGCAGTTTGTCCTCTTCTGGCAGTACGCCTACAAGTGAATTCTCGGGTGCTGGGTTGTCTCGACGTTTTTGCGTGTCAAATGCTAGTTGATGTGAAATTTGTCATGATCACAAGAGGTTCGCAGCATCTTTTGCTTATAAGGTTGCCCTGAAAGTTTCCGCTGCTTTTTCGTTTGACCGCTCATGATGTTTCGTGTAATGATGCCCAATAATGAAACCTGCTGTACTCGGCTCTGACAACGAGCAGTGCGTTGTTGTCTGTTAGATTTATGGTTTTATGAAACAGCACGTTTAGATTTGGAATTGCACTAGCACAACACTCGAGTAGGTGATTAATTTGCAATACCTGTAACCTATGTGGAAGTTTTGCCTCAAACTCTAAGATTATTGCACAATTTAGATGAATTGAACTCAGTGAGTTATCAACATATACAGAAAAGCGGAAGCACTATTTTTGTGTACAACATGACTTCGGACCATGGTTTATTACCGGTGAGGTGTACTGAATGCTACCGCATACGATTTGAAAATGTTTTGATGCGGTCCAAAGAACTATACTGCTCCTTCATATATTCAAGAAATGGGATTTCTACTTTCCTGCATCTCTAGAGATTCTGGAAACTACCGTAATATCTTGATCTAGAAGAACTGTAAATATTGTATAAACGTGCGAACTAAAATTTTGCTATCAAAAGTCGTCTTCAGGGAGACAGTGGAGGTCCACTCGTTCAAAAAATCGAGGGAAAACACTACCTTTTCGGAATAGCCTCGAGAGGTTTTCATCGGACCCTTGTGGACGGAAATGGCCTTGGTCTAAAATTTCCGATTGGTAAGTAACCGAACTCACTAATCGAAAACCGTGCAATGCGATGCGATCTTGTGCCATGTATTGAAATGTAGGCCCTCAGCGGACTTTCGATCCTTTCCACATATGCTAAAAAGCATGTAAAGAGGAGCAGTACACCCCGGAAACGAATCTTATGAGCGGAGCATGAAAATATTGACATCGCTAGACCCAAGCATGATATGAAATCATGATTGTTGAGCATTTTTACTTTTTGCTCTTACATGTCAAAGTCTCATATCAATGGCGAGGAGGGAAAAGACTTCATATACACTAAACAGTATTAACTTTAACCATTATGTTTTGAGCGTTGGAAACCACACAAATAGTGGTCAGTTTCTACGATAAAGTGAATGTTCTAGATGGAACCTTCTTCACCGATGTGCGCAAGTATCTAGACTGGATTTGCGATGTAACAGGTGAGTACTTTACTGTATAATTACTAATGTTTGTGAGCAAGAATATGGTCAACAAGCAATGAAGCTCTTCACTTTAATCGTACAGAAAAATTTGCGAAAAAAAAGCATTTTTTGGTTTAAATGCCAGTCTATGTTAATGTATAGCCTCCTTATATTACTACATATTACTATTTGTAGCCCCGGAAGAGATTCGGAAGTTCCCGAAAACGATTATTTGGCGTTTTTTGCATTCTTTGGCTAATCCTCAATGCTTCTCTTCTCAGTCGTATCTCTATGCAGGTGTCTGCTCTTCTTCTCAACCAACCAACTATCCGCCACAGATTTCAACGCCAGTGCCAGCAATTTATAGTCCGGCTTGGCCCTTCTCGACGCCAACGCCAGCACACCGAGGTCCGGCCTGGCCCCTCCCGACGCCACCGCCAGCATATTCCGGTCCGGCTTGGCCCTTCTCGACGCCAGCGCCAGCATATCGCGGTCCGGCCCGGCCCCTCTCGACGCCATCGCGAGCATATCGCGGTCCTTCTTAGCCCTTCTCGACGCCAGCATATCGCGGTCCAGCTTGGCCCTTTTAATAGCAATTCAAAGTTGGCTCTTGCTACAAGTATTTCATGCATCGTTCAGCCTTTCATCATGTTTAGCTGGTACATGAACAAAGCTTTACTCATTTGTTATGCATTGACCATATACCAGCACTTGGACTGTTGTACTCTATAACCTATGGACATTCACACAAGCTCAGCTCCAGTAAAAGCCACTGAAGCACACGCTAATGCACACATAGGTCGCTTTTCATGCCGCTGGTGAAATATACTCCAGATGTGGTAGTTGCTCCCCGGTTTGTATTCTGGTTTTATGTAAAAAAACACTCTCATCAACCTATCGCCGCAGGTATTCCTTCTACCATTCAATTGGAATTGGCAGAAAATTGGACCATATAGTAGAGCATATTTGGTCAAACTAAATGACTGCTTTACTTGATATTGTTTTTCGTGAACCACAGAATGATCTGCGAGATTACTAAGACAGTCTGATGAGCTAGAAAAAAAAATGAAACTGACTATCAATGGCTGATTGCAATGTACAAAATCTTATCCTTTTAATATGGAAAAAATTAAAATTCTAGCTACAATGATAGTCTAGATAAAGATCAGGGCTCGGCACAGGTGGCTTATAAGCAAGCTGGGTATCGTTTTTAGGACATAAAGCAAAGGGGGTTTCGTTTTTGTGGCCGAAGACACAGAAAATTTGCAACGTTTTTTTTAGTCGACGTTTCTTTTTTTTTGGAGGTTTTTAGGACTTATGGTGTAGGGTCAAAGGGGACTTCGTAAAAATTCGCAAAAGTCAAGGGGGACATCGTTTTTTGCATTTTCATCTAGCCACCTCGTGCCGAACCCTGATAAAGATGATGACAAAAAGAAGTTTTTCGAAAAAAAAATGTGAGACAAAGGAAAAAGGAAGAACTACGTTGCTATAATCATGTTTACTAAGCTAAAGAGGTCTAAGACTGGAAGACTCCGTCTCTCTGTTGCAACACACAATACCAAGCAATTTTCTAGCGCACAATCCTTTTCTGATTTCGCACTACCAAGCAACATCGCCATATCGCTCCCGTGTGAAAATCAGTTTGGAACTAAAACAACTCCCATACCTTTCGTAACCAAGCAAGCTGTCGCGCAGCATTAATATACACAATTTGCTGATTTACCACATCAAAAAGCGACATTCCGAAATTTGCATGGCTTGATCTTGCAAATGTGTCCCAGCTTGTCGAGCGGTTTGATCCTTTTTTTCTGAAATATTGTTCTTTTTCTGCTCGCTCTGTAATGAGGAACTCATTAAGACATTAAAGGCAGCGTACACCCAAAAGTTGAGTTACCCAGTTCTCTATACCGTGTATATACAGGGCCCAGAAGAAGACCAACTGCGTTGGTCCGGTCTCCCATTGTTGCTTCTGAGCGGAGAAAATCTGCCTGATTTTTCTTTCACTTCGCCCCTTTTCTTTCACTCCGCCTCCTTCGGACGAATCCACGACAGCGTAAGCTGCAGTTGCAGTTGCAGTTGCTGCAGTGCAGTTGCAAAAAGCAACTGCACTGTTGCAACTGCTATTGCATCTGCAACTGCAGTTGCAACAGTGCAGCTGCTTTTTGCGGTGCGCCTCCTTCGGGCGACGAACCATGACAGCATTTGCAGCAGTTGCAGTTGCAACTGCAGGCTGTCATGCTGTTGCAGCTGCTGGCATGCCGATGAGGACGAGCAGTTTGAAACTCGTCCGCCTCTGAAGAAAGGGTTCCCGGAAATCGGGGTTTCTTGAGATTTTTGGAGAATTTTAATGTCATAACTGTAATCAGGAGCATGGGGGGGCCCCAGAATGACAAAGACATCGAAGGCGAAATTTAGGGTGTACGCTGCCTTTAAAGGCAGCGTACACCAAAAATCTAAGTTACCTAATTTTCTAGATCTTTCTATACGGTGTAACTGGGCCCAGAAGAAGACCAACTGCGTTGGTCCGGTCTCCCAATGTTGCTTCTGAGCGGAGAAAACCCCCCTCAATTTTCTTTCACTCCGCCCCTTTTCTTTCACTCCGCCTCCTCCGGAGGAATCGACTACAGCGTAAGCTGCAGTTGCAGTTGCAGTTTCAGTTGCAACTGCTGTTGCCTGCAACTCCAATTGCAACGGTGTAGTTGCTTTTTGCAGTCCGCCTCCTCCGGACGACGAACCCGACATCATACGCAGCAGTTGCAGTTGCAACTACAGGCTGTCATGCTGTTGCAGCTGCTGGCATGCCGACGGGGACGAGCAGTTCGAAACTCGTCCGCCCCCGAAGAGAGGGTCCCCGGAAATCGGGGTTTTTTGGGACTTTTGGAGGATTGTAATGTCATAACCAGAGTTGAGCAAGAGGTCAGGCACAAGTCTTTCGGAAACGATTCCCCCCTCCCCCTCCCATGAAGGCCCTCAAACGACCCCTCCCTTCTCGACCTCCCAAACCTCAGAGTGTGACATTCTTGAGGACGTCATCCTTTTCTAGGGAGTTTTCACATTTTTGAGTACTGTACGCCCGATTTTCTGTGACTGCACTTTACAGCATGTAATTTGACGGCTGATTTTGATCTGAATGGGCTTCTTGAAAAGGTCATAATTTTTCTAGGAGTGGGGCATTTGGCTCCAAATTTCCACTGTAGCAAGAAGAAGCTATGAGCTCAATACTCATATCAGGAATGGAGCGATTTCTGGATTTTGAAGGCAAGTTAATCGTGTCAAGCACAACCCCTCAAAAGCTCAGGCGGCCTGACCTTTTAAGGGGTTGCGCCTGACCCGATTAACTTTATCACCGAAGAAGCTTTTCCATCTTAGTTTTAAATGATTCGCTAGCATACCTCGAAGATTCTACAGCAGGTTTTTGAGCTTACCTCGACTTGTTCTGGCTTTGTGGTGATCAGTGAAGTTGAAGCACTTGAGGTGAAAACCGCGGTGACTTACATTTTGGCAGCACTTCTTACTCCGTTATTTGAAGGCGATATGAAGTCCAATTTCCACCATAGACTGATAAAGAGTAATACTTCGTTATGAATACAAAAAAGCGGACTTCTTTCGCTTTTGTGACCAAGTTAATCATGTTTGAAAATCATGCTTTTTAGACGTTAGGAAACACTAGAAAATGTATTAGGTAATGGTTTGTTAAGCTCGTTGAGGTAATTTGGCATGCTGATTACGAAAATCATACCCAATTTACATAAAAAAGCTTCTTTGGTGACCTTACGGTATGTGTAAGGTAAGATAAAGAATTGAAATTTGGCTCAGACTTCGTTAGTCGAGTCAATCAGCATGCTGTTCCACGACAGTCTCCCTCTGGTGGAATTGTGAGATTCACGGTCAAGCGCTTTTCTTCTTCACCTTACTCGATCGTAGTACCTCAATTTTTTGAACAAATTCACTTCTTGATTACGACCCCCCCCCCCTTGCTCTTACCCCCAATACGACCCCCCCCCCCCAGGTCGGGCGCGCCTGACCCCACGCTCAACCCTGGTCATAACTAATCAGCGGCACGGAAAGGCCCCAGAATGACAAAAACATCGAAGGTGAAATTTTGGGTGTACGCTGCCTTTAAAGACGCTTGCAGTACAACTCTATCACCACTAAGCCAAAACAGCGCTACCAAACAACACCAAGCCAACACGCCCTACCAAGCAACTAAGGATACGTCCGTCCTGGTAGTGCGTATGGCTTGGTGTTGCCACTTTGCACTACCAAGCAACTGCGCTGCGTTGCTCCATCTCTATGTACTGTTCCGGTTTTGTTGTTACAACTATCAACTTTTCCTGCATCACCAAAAGCAACAATTATGCTGCAAAACGCAACACATATTCGGTGTTTTGCCCTACCAAACCACTCCATAACGCTACTGGATTTCCTACAGGAAAATATCAGAGTAATGGAATTATACGCGATAGCAAACAACAAATATATAAATAATTCAATTATTTAGTTCAGCTTCATATATAGTATTTAGAGTTTCCCAGTTAGTCCACTGTTAAATAAATCGAATGTTATATTTTATTCCTGAATTGTATTCTAAACTCAGTAAGAATTTTCCAAGCAGTTTTGTTAAAAGAGCCTAGTAACTGTATTTTTCCGGTAAAATTTGAAAAGTGTAAGCTTCTTCACAGTTATCGAACCAATCAACAGAGATGGAGGGCCGAAGAGGCCCGAAGAGGCAATTCCTGCGCGATATGTTCAAGGTTTCGTAACAATTTATATACAGAACATAAGAGATTATCAACATTATATCGTTTTATGGCTAAGAAATGAGAAGATAAAGCTTTCATTGCAAGTTCTTGAACTTTCAACTCCATACAATCTTTGACTTTCAATTTTGTTAATTGGAAACATGAGCACAAATCATTCATTAAATGTTCACTCATCACAAAGTAAACAGCACAGTTGTCGAACATATACGTTTACCAAACGTCGTTCATCATTCTTCCCCATAGCGGTTCTTCATAGTATTTCTTGCCACGTTCGCTCTCGCGTGGAATCAGGGAACGGAAAACTTCCTGGAAAACTATTTTTTAAATTGTGATACAGTTAAATGTTCAAGACTTGAGAATGCGCACACGTTAGATCAATTTAGGGGTCACTTTGGCACTCAACAATTGAAATGAGTGTAAGTGAAGCAACAATAAATGTTAGAGATGCGTGGAATGACGTAACTCACCGTATATATTTGGAAAGAGTATTTTTATCTTTATAAATAAGATGGTCCTTAGTCTAGACTAGCGCTTAGTGTTTACCAAGAACTTCAAACAGCAATATTAAAAACTCTATTTTCTAATGATCAGTTTCCCTCCAAACAGAACCCCCACTCTATTGAATTGATTTGATTTCCTGCTCACAAATTAAAAACTATCTAGGTTATATGAGATGTAGTAAAGAGCAGTGCTAAGCTCAGTTCTTACCGAATGATAAATATTTTGGGTGGTCCTTTAAGGTAACTGTCTGCTTTTCCAAGTTATTTTTGATGCACAACGCTCTGGAGAACCTATACTACATTATCGCAGACTCTATATTCACCGACGGCAAAAACAGGAGAATTTGTACATCGGCTATGCTGAACTATGGCAGCAAGCTATACAACACCTTGTTTTGCTCACATCCGGAAAAGTCAAACGTCAGTTTCTCTATTTCGAGATCAGCCCGGAAAGTAGCTTGGCTGCAGCAGAGCATAAATATTTTTCTAATGAAAATTTACCTCACTTGACGTTGCGACTTCTTAGAGTGTTGCGAAATCAAAATTAAAACGTCACCAAAAAGAAAATTCATGGATGAGTTAATATACAAAAGCTTTATTGCAAATACGCAACCTTTTGACTAGAATTTGCAAGTGCCTACGAATTTATGCTCTCTCTAGACTCATTGCAGAATGGAAGGTTAATATTTATGAACTGAATCTGCTTTGAGAAGCAAAAAAAAGACAGTTTCTAAATATGACTAGCTGTTACGAAATAAGAGATACAGATCCAAAGTCTTCTTGCTACTTTATTTACAAAAGTGATGCGAGACATTTAGATACTAACAAGTGAAATAGAGTTCTTGAGATCATGAATTCGTAATTCAATGAAAGCGGTGTTATCAATTCTAGATTTGTATTCATTATTATTTGCTTAACTTTCCAAAATAATTTGTGCACTTTTGCCTCGAGCTTTTACGGATTCGGTGAACGTGCAAGTACCAAATTATAGCAAAATGAAGGCAAGTCTTCAATCTTAAGCCATCCAACTGTGGAGGAGTACCCAAATGCATCGAGACAGTTCGATTTTTTGATATCATGGGTTTCTCACAAGATCATTATGTGCGAGTTCCAAGGGTTGTTTTCAAAAGTATTTAGAGCAATTAAACATATGCAAACAGATGATGAGTGCTCTAGGGTACAATACCAAAGCTTCGGCATTTGCATTTCTATGATTTTGATCCTGAAGCATTCGAGAAGAAAATGGGCTTAATGAAACGAATTTATCAGCCTTAAAACCTTTTCATCCTAATAGGTTATCCCAAGAGATAAATAGGGAAGCTATGACGTGTGAAATTTCTTACTTTTCGCACTCAAATAGTTCAGATAAATGTCCTTTTGTGTCTGTCACTGGCTAGGTTTCATTCACGAAAATGTTTGAGACAAGTTGTGCGACCGCTCGTAATCTATTCCAAACTCATAAAAATTTTTGCGGTGCAGAGCGCGCAAAGATTGCGCATATCATGTGCGGATTGAACGTCATCTGGCATGACGCAATATTCAGCAATATTCAACAGCACCTTCATCAAACATCTTCATTTGTACAAGGGACTCATGGCAGCTAAGAATTAGAATTGGGCTCATCTAATCCTGGCCCTCTCATCCACACCATACACTCTCTTCTCAGCCAAAAGTGCGAAGCTGTCATGGTTGGGCTTTCTTCGCGCCAGAACATTAACAAGATCCCAAGTGCATCTTCTTCAGTTTGCTATTTTGCGATGTTCGCAAGAAATACGAGCGAGAACGAAAATAGAAAATTGCCCAAAGAAATTACCTGTATCCTGGTCATTGAATGCGACGGTGCAGCAAATACCAGATACGAGAGCTGAACGAGAGCGATGACGAGAAACACTAACAACGCTCGTGACATACCTGCAAATTTTCAAGGTTAGCCCAGTAAAGGTGGAGCTCACTTACTTCACAATTCCGCAAAAAAGTAATATGTCGTGTTATGAACGTGAAGCTCTTGCATGAGCATCAGGAATAGATATCGATATGGCACGTGGTCTAGGACGAGTAATCTCTTATGTTTACTTTTTAGGTTTATGAGTAAGCGTAGGGTTGAGACCACAATTACGTCATGGGAGTAAGTACCAGTACTACTTCTTAAAGGTGCATAGTATCAAAAATTACTTTATAACCTGAGGCAATCACTTCTTTGTAATAGTCTATAGGTCTAAAAGAGCTGTAGAAGCTCTTTAAAAGCATTTTTACGTGGGATAGTAGATTGCTAGTCTCTAAAGCCTTAAATACGCCACTTCCGGCTAACCATAGCGTGTGTGTAGGTGAAGTGAATAGGTACGAAACCCTATTACATAAATTGAAGTCAGCAACTTAGCAGCTTGATTACGTTTACCCTTTTCTCCCATGTATAGCAGACATTTACAGCTGTGATAGGGTTACTATAACAAAAAGTTTTGTGAGTAAATAGGCTAAAAGTCATTTGTGACGCGATATAGGAGTGTAAAAATAGAATTTATTCTGAGGAACTTTTGGCATTAACAACGATGGACATTTTTACAAGTAGATCATACTAAGAGGTAGTCTGCACTGAGCCAATGAGAAGGAATGAAGAGGCTAAGAATAAGAGAGCCAGATGCTTCCTACAGAGTGATGAATGAAACTAAAGACGTCTATTACTCAAAGCGAAAACCTCGAGATTTTCGGAAATTACAAGTGGGGTGGATTTGATAAAAGGGAGCCATTTGCATATATGTCAAAAGTGCACCGCTATTAGAGTATCAAAAAAGCTGAGATGGACTGACATGCATAAAGGTTTAGGCGTGGTAAAGATATGCAGTTTTCCCTATTTGGTTTTGAGGAAGTGCTTGGTAGGAAGTAGGGACTACGTCACTATTCAAAACTAATGAGGGCATGGTCCTGAGTGGGAAATGCACCAATGAAAAGTGGAAGGTAGTGATGCACTAAAAAATAGGCGATGTACTAAGAAATAATTTGTGCTCAATATTTCTCGAATGTGTCGCAATTAAGAACGATGCTGAAAGAAGCACCGATTGGTAAATAATTTGTCGATGCGTGATTCATTTGAAGATATTATATAGTTGTGCTGGAGGGCCAACCGAGAGTAGGCGGGGTTACGAATCGCGGAGGCGGAAAATTCGAACGAAACGCATTAGGTCCGGGCGCGATGAGAGTTCGTAGCAATCAAATTTATTTGAGCTGACCTTTTGTGAGACAAAGCTTGCTTATACTGCACAGAGCGGTCGCAAATCGCGATTTGTGTAGTGATGGAGGGGTTACGCGAACTTGCACTATATAAGTTTTGTCTTTACTGGATCTATTTTATATTGTGGCAATCACTGCTTTCAGTAAAATGACATAATAAAAACGTCAGAAATCCAGGTCTTTCGAAGGAAATGCGTCAAACTTTATATATCTTGTTTTGTGGGCGCCTAGAAAGTTCAAAATACATAAATCTGAAGGGAGTTCATAATACGCCAGCTCAGATGAGTGTGAGTTCTAATCATCGAGGTGTACTTACTCTATTTTCGATACAATCATGATTGTAGCCCCAAGAGTTATTACCATATCCCAAAAATAGTTCGCATCTATGTGATGGCCACAGTAACGCTACCGTAACTCGACGGTAAAAAAAACGTGCTCCATTCGATCTTTCCCCTCTCGTCAAATCTATTTCTCCCCACCAGAAAAGCTTCAGCACTTGCAATTTTTTATATTCTGCAAATTATGCCGGCTGCAAGTCATATGAGCAACAATTTGGCCTAATCTCTCCCCTCACGTCAACATGTATAAGTGACAAGCCTAAGAGAAAAATGTTGAGCTTATGTATGAGGAACTAGAGCTAAATAAAAATCTGTTTTCATCCATCAACCCTCATGGAGCGAATAACAGCGAATTGTAGTGCTGAAAATTGATTTATACTTCTGAATTGCGACGTACTTGTGACTACTTGTGACTTGAAGGGTCCACGTTCAAAGTTGTTTGATTCTAAAAGCAGCGCAGTTACTATGAAGCTTTTACGAGAAGGATCGACGATTTTTGATGGGTTGAGCCTCTTGTTATGCAGCTGCCAGGCAAGTTTACTCAAACAAATTTCATATAAGCACTTCCACACGTGATTACTACTTAAGGATAGTATCCCATGCTGCGAAAAACTCCATAACGGGATAAGTGACCGTAAAAGCTCGGTTATAGCGGTAAGCAGGAAGATAAGATCTGTCTACGCTGTGTCATACCTACATAGATTGCATATATAATTCGATGTTATTACGGTTATGACGCTTTATATACACTGTAAAAGTGCACGAATAAAAGTAGGCGTGTGAAAAAAACGTTATTTGGGGAAATTAATGTTCAAGTGGACGTGTGATTCACAGCTTCCGCTAAAACAAATCTCACACCTACTCTTTCCTCAGTCTTCCCAAGAAAATGACGAAGTGACCAATGATTTTAAAAGACGATGGTATAAATCACATTTGCCCATCTAGCTTGAACTCTATATTTACTGTAGCATCTTGCTGTTCCACCCTACCCAGCAGGCACTTCGCCTAAATCCACATTTTAGAAAGGATACCCCTGCCGCGTTGACTGCACTTGCTGATAGAAGTAGTTCGCTGATCAAAAATAGAAATAATGTGATAGACTTGATTGTTATAAAATGATTTATCTATTAGTTGTTGTCCTACAAATTCAATTTAACCTCACGTGCTACATTGTGAAGTGTTAATAACTTGCTTCTAGAAGAAATCTCGTGCTTTTTGTAAATTCTCCCTATAAATTTCCTCCAAAATGAACATGTGAATACAAGTTTCCAAAGATTTTTTGCAAGCATTCCTTGAAAGTCAGTTGATCGATCTATTGCAACTTTGAGTCTAAATTCTCTAGAGCTAGCGATTTGACTTGATGTCAAACCCTTTATAAACAGCGCGACCAAAAGAATATCCCTCCTAACAAAACTCAAATAAAAAATCTTCTCATTAGCTGAATATGCCGTACAAAAGCAGCAAATTACAAGAGAATCGTAGCTTTAGTGCTGTCGAATGTACCATTAAAGAAAAGATGATTTAATCCACACAGCGGGTATACTCATAAGCACCCTATGGTAGATGCCTGTTCCTCTAAGGTCTAGCAGCGTTGCTAGTAATTTCTATGGACCCTTTCTAGTTGATTGCTTTAACACAATCAGCCAAAACAATAGGGTTTACATATGTATGAAGCATGTTTTCGTTCTCAGATTACAAAAGATCGTTTTACCTTGCCTTTCACGACCACTTACCCAGACTCTTGATAGCTTGCTATGCAAATTCTTTCACAATCGGTTGGAAATATAAATCCACATTTTGGTGTTCTTTTTGAGGAGCACTTCGTGGAAAATGCTTTTTTAGGTCAGACAATGATGTCATAAAAAATGTGAGGTGAACAGGAAATAATTTTGGGATCCATTGTCAGGAAATAAGCGCTTTTTTAGAATTGACAAGGAAATTTGCTTTTGATTTCTGAGTCATAATATCCGAAGATTAAGTGCATTTGGCACTAACAGCTGGAAGCTTCTAGAATTTTTGATAGATATGAATAATCAGTCAATCAACTCACATTTTCAGAGGAACTATAGTCAAAATAGATTAAGATTAGAGCAGCTAAATTTGCCTAGAATTTCACGGAATCAACTGCAATGGATATGGCTTCACTGCCAATTTTTACTACTTAGCCTTTGCCCTACGAGTATGTCAGGACGTCATGGCAATGCATAATCGAAACACTTCCGGACCACTACACTAGTCTAGTGTTCTATTCATGAGGGCATATACTGAACAAGTTTAGGAAAGGTGATGATGTCATAAAATTGCAGAACTATTTAGTACTATCTTAGCTCTGAAAAAATTCTCCGGGAGCCTTCAAAAAAGATTTATTCTTTCTCTTTTGAGCAGTTCTGATCTACTATGAAATAGAAGGAATGGGAACGATTAAGGTAGTGTAGTTGGTCAACTCTGATCTATTGTATAGTAAGAGGAACCACACAAATAAGATACTGTAGTCTTGATCTGTTCTGATCTAACGTTCAATAAGAGGAAGAACACTGGTTGAGATACTGTATTTTGATCAGTTCTGATGTACTGTCCAACAGGAATAAGAGCAATTGGAATACTGTAGTTTTGGTTCCGATCTACTGTGCAATATGCAAAAAGAGCGATTACGATACTGTAGTTTTGATCTACTGCACAATAAGAGGATTCGAAGGGATTAGGATACTGTAGAAGAGGACTTGATTGTATGAACAAACTCGAACCAGATTGGCAATGCACTTGCCAAAGAAAAAACCTTCTTTCTCACTCATTCTAAGTAGTCCCCTCATACACATACTCATATCAAGCTGAGACCAAATTTGTCCCTTGAGAATTCCCATTGGTAGATGCGACGCGAAGTTGACATCAAAGACATCTCACAACTGAGCTCAGATGATGAGCAAAGACGGAATGACGTATTTTTTTTTGCTCGAAGAGTGGGGGAAGTTATGACATGCGTAGAAGCCTTTGCACCTACGATGATGTCAACGATAACGGTGGTTCTCTTTGTAAATAACTTTTTGCCAGGGCATTGTTCAAATGTTCCGCGAAGTTCGCCGGAATTTAATCAGTTGTACGACAATGATGACGCGAAAACATTGCAATTCGTGCAAGATTAGTGCTATTATGTTGCGGGTAACCTTTGGATCTATGAACAATCATTTTCGTCATGAATGCCTCTGTTCTGTTTTTCTGGAATGCACTGCCATGTCTGATCAACTTCAATAAAGTCTGCTCTCAGGAAATTTGGGAATTTGAAAAAACCTAGAAATACCAATTTCAAAACACATTATCACAATTCTACATAATAGATACTTTTAAAATCAACTTCCCTATTCTTTCTCACTCAAATGGTGAGAATCTTCCAAAGCATCTGTTCATATCGAAAATCCACGTTTCAGTCTCTGTTCTATGAATTTTCGAATTATGGGGAGGTCTGAACGGCTATGTGGAGGTGGTCCATCAATTATGCCTGCCGCGTATGCACAGAATTTGGCAAAGTTTTCAAGAGCAAACCAAAGCCAGTGGAAGTTAATCAAAACATAATTAAAATGATTTGATGGTCCATCGTCTGGCCGGCATTATATGGTATATGATTCGCTTCATAAAAGAAAACCAGAACCAAATGGTTGGAGCACGGATGCTTGATAAAGTTATTCTGGGTAACAAAACCTGGAAATTTCCCTTAATTTTTATAGTCCTAAGACCACGATCTATTCTTAGGTTAGAAGCTTGTATGGCTTTGAGCAGAGGTAATAGATCTCTTCGGATATTTTGAATATCTAACTGTGGCCTTTATTATAACGTTCCAAAATTATCCTGAGTATTTGCAAGAAAAATTCTTTGACCAGCTTGTTTTTGAAAGCTTATAATCTTTAAAATCACTAGGAAACCTCTCAAAGCAGCGTTCGGGCTCTAAATACCTGAGCATCTTATGTATATACCGAATGAGACTTCAACTACATCATTGCCTTAGCTGCTCATATGAATTATTTGTACCGAGCTATTTGATTTTGAGTTTCTGCTCAGAACGTGCTCTACAGATCAGACCAATTGATGTTTTCAGGTACGGTATAAAGTAGGATCTGGGCTTCAAATTGTACTCTTTGGGGAATAAGTGATACAGGCAGCTGCTTCCTTATCTTTATACTTATAATCAATAAGGAAACCCGGTTCCACATTTGCCTGAATTATCTTTGAAGTCGTTCAAATGCTTCCGAAAAAATAGCTCAAAGCTTATCAGGCCAGAATGCTTCAACTATCGCTTTACTGACCACATCAGCGCTTATAAATTGGAATACGATTATTTTTTGCTTGCAAAGGTGGACATCTCAGTGTAAAGCATTCAGCATTACTTTCGACTTCCTTAGTTCAGTATTAATCATTTCTTTACTGTTATAGGGCGATTCGTAGTACTAGACTGTGTTCTAAGTTCTCAGCCTATTTTTGGTCTCCGACGTCACAGACTGGTTCCTGTCATTGTGAGAGTTCAAATGGCCATTGTTCCAACGGCCATCTCTAAGAGGGGAATTCAGAAAATGCATCTTGAGCTCAAATGACGTAATGACATGAGAAACCACTATCAATCAAATCGATCTAATATTAGTATCTGAATCCTTATAGCAAAAGTTCATGCCCGCTAATTCTAGCCGTAAACAGGAAGTGGCTGCGGAATGATGTGTGACGAGGTTGCTTTTCTGCTATTCTCGAGCACACTGAACGTGCTGTTAGGCTACCGTAAACTCACTTATGGTACGGTATCTGACCAAAAAGGCATCTCAAAAAGAGCAAATAATAGCTTAAATCTTGCTTGAGACCCGAACTGCATCGTGCAGATCGGTTTACGGTCAGTGGAATACGGTAATGGTAATCATGAAGCTTGTGGAATGAGAGTGCTTATTTTCAAAGTTCTACATTTTTTGATGATTATTGTCCTCTAAAACTAAAATTTTTGTCCCCTACTCTTTTCCACTGAACTTTTCACTTATTCGTCATATTGCTCTGAAGAGATCAAGTTTATCAATCATGAGTGATAAAACCATTTCTACATTCATAGATGTTGATCTTCCAAGATCTCAACAGTAATTTGCAAAAAAACATATAGATAGAAAGCACGCGTCAATCGTTTTGAAAAAATACTCGAGATCAAATGAAAGAATGGCAGATGAGATTTTATTGCAGACAGGATTCCAGTATGAGTGTGCGGTCGGCGCTGCTGGTCCGCGAGTCGCAGCAAATGTAATCTGCAGAGGATTTGTAAGGCCTCTATGGTATTATAGTAAAGTTAAGCGCCTGGCAAAACCTTAAGAACCTGCGAGAACTTGAGGTTTCCCAAAGAGTCACAGTTCCAGAAATTCGCATAGTTTAGCTCCCGTAAGCCTTTCCGAAGCTTAACAGAAGAAGAGTTAAGTACCAGGTCTCGGCACGAGGTGGCTTTCCGACCACACAAAAAAACGAAGCCCCCTTGACTTTCGCAAAATTTTACGCAGTCCCCTTTGTCCCTAAATTTTAAACGTAAAAAACCCCCCAAAAAACGAAAAGTCGACCAAAAAAATGTGACGTAATTTGTGTATTTTCGGCCACAAAAACGATATCCCTTTTGTTTTTCGTCCCAAAAACGATATCCAGCTTGCTTATAAGCCATCTGTGCCGAGCCCTGATAACCACTGTAAATTGCTACTGTTACCTAAAGTTACTGAGAGATTTGTGGTTTGCACTATCACTGCAGCAGGAATCGAAGAGTAGAGCAAGAATGAATCAAATTGAATTTTCTCCATTTTAAGCTTTACTAGTCAAATTTTGAAACTCTTAATTTAGCGCGTCTATTTTAAGCTCGCTTTGAAAAACTAGTTTACGAGCAAAATTCCTGCACTGAATTTTTTCTGCAACGATTATTGAGGACTTAAAATTAGACATATCTTCACTGATTTTTACTTAAAAAACGATTTAGGGGGGTCCGATCTTGGGGCACACGATCTTGAGCAAGTATGTAAGGGTAACGGTGTGCTAAAATCGTGTTTTGATACCCCCTAACAAACACGAAGAAAAACAGCAACATGCACCCTCCAGGTTGAAACAATGAAATGTGAAAATTGAGAGAAACTTCAAAATGAGATTAGTGGATGAAAATGTTCAGTAATGCATCCATTATGAGCCTCCCCCTCAGAGACTGAATAGATGTCGACTTTACTGGAACAATCGCAACAAGGCAATAAATCTTAAGCGTATTAACTATCATAAACTTCAAAAAGTGCAACACACATCATCTTCTTTAGAAGAAAAGCCGAAATGCGTCAGAACGTTTGTCTACTTGCGCAAACGCCTTTATCTATGTGCTTAAATCTACAATAGTGAAGTTATTTTATGAGATTACAACAAAAAATTATATTTATATCGTATTCCACTCGACATTTTACTTCAACAACATCGCTACCCGTTGTGCATGCTAGTAAAAAAACAATATAATGCGAATAAAATAAGAGCTATGTGAATGGTGAAGAGAAGAACTTGTGAATTTCAACGCTCACGTCAACATTTCCCGCAAAATCACAGTTCGGCTAAGGAACAATGAAGATCTAAGGAAGCACTTCGAACGACGAAGGCAATGCATAAAGTGATAAAAGTGAGGAACATTAAGATTAAATGCTTAAAATGGCACTGAGTGTGAAGTAAATAGTTTGTAATATATGAGAATGTAGAAAATGTAGAAAATTAACATCAAAACTTGGACAAATAAATACAGAAACTAAACTCATTGCAAACAGAAAATTCTCACTGACAACTGATTTCAGACTATGACACCGTAAACAACATTTTACAAGTAAAAGAACTATTCAAAACAAATATGTAAACAAACAACGCTACACTAACAATCTAGTAACTTAAACTATCTTAATAGCCTCCATTTGGGATATATAGAGGGCTGTGCTGGCACGATGCCAACTGACTTGACCAGAGCAGATTCGGTGACACTGAAGGAGATGGTGAGATCGGAAGTGACCTAAACAAAAGAATTTATTGATCCCACAGCAGATGATTTTGTTGAAGCTTACTCCTCAAAGTTTGAAAGAGTAAAAGTATGGGTGATTCCCGAGGGAAATGTGCTGAGAGCGTCAAACTCGTCCGATAATGGTTCTGTCAACGAAAGTGACCTAAAAAGTGTTTCTTTTGAATTTCTTGGTCATTTTTGTCTTATTTAGAATTTCTCTTACGTCTTCTCAGATAACAAACTGCCAAAATCATTGGTAGAGGGTAGAGCTGTGTCGACGGTTAGCATTGCTGCAAAACTAACCATTTTCGAGAGAAAATCAGGAACCACGTAATCTACAGACCTCTTTGAGGACCTTTGTTTTGTTCTTCAGCATCGGCTAGCATAAGTTCTTCCATAAGTACATCCAGCCGTGCCACACCGCTCAATTTTGTCACCAAAATATCTTCGCAAATAGAATTTGCCAAAGACTGCAAAATAACTCGTTTCAGTTTTCAGTGACAGGATTCTTGGCTCCGTCCCAAATCCTTACCGATAACGGAGAAAGCAAAAAACACGTCAGATCTCCTAACCGCGTTTTTTCATCGAATTTTCTCGTCCGAACGTAATGTTCCAACGCTGAGAAGATACGCCTTCGGGTATTCAATACGGTAGTGACAGCCAATGGCGATAGGCCTTTTGCAACTAGAAGTAACCCGTCCAGAATGAAAATCTAGAAAAGAGAAAAGACTTTCCAGTAATGCTAACCAGGGTTGAACAAGACACAAGCTTTGAGCGTAACGAATTCGGCATCGTCGATTGCCAAAAATCTCATCGGTGCCACCATTTGATCCATCACTTTTTCACAGTCAGGAAGGTAAAAACCACTGGAAATATCGATTATCAGTGAACTGCTGGATGATTGCCAAAATTCACGGCCGGATGCATGGTGAGTGATACGGTATCTTATACGGTAATGATACGGTAATGATGCTTGCAACGAAACATATAACATTTGAGATGTGATTTTTCGTGATTATGCGTTTGAAATTGAAAACAACAGCTTCGAATTTCCGAAATTGCCTATTAGAAGTATTTCAAAAGCTGCAGTAAGTAAAAAAGCTGCTAGTTTTGGTATCTGCTTTACTCAAAATCTATTACCTATTTTTGAGTTCTGCAACGTAAGGAAGAATTCAAAAAATGTTCTGTCTAAAAAAATCAGAAGTTGTCTCTAAAGCAAATGGAGAAGAAACAAAAAATTCGAACCAAAAAGCTGTGTGCCGATGATGTCAAAAACTCCAAACTGCTGATGTTAGATTGGTGCAACGTTCCGTCGCATCATTTTTGAATACCTATAAACTCCTTGCTCTCTTAAAGGATTCGCACGAACTTAATTTCCATGATAGTGCCTTTCTGCTCTCTGATAAGGGGTAGCCAGGGCCCGGCACGAGGTAGGCAAATGACAAGCTGGAAATCGTTTTGGGGCCAAAAAGCAAAGGGGATATCGTTTTTGCGGGATCGGGGGCGGAGCCCCGGAAGAAGGTTCCAGGTGCAAGCAAAAGAAGGTCGAATCATGCTTACCTTATACATCTAATTCATCGGAAAATAGTTTTCATAGACCTCAACGCACAGCAGACTTCGCGCGCACTACGCCGTGTCGCCGCTTATTGCCGCGTGCGCGACTTCGCATGAGCGATGCCGTTGAACAGCATGATTACATGATCAGTTCTCAATGCAGGCGTAATGATATAGCATCAAATTACGTAAGCGAACAAAGAGAGGCTAGTAGAAACAAAGCATGAAATGTATGAAAAGCTTATGTGAATGGGAGGTGTAATAAGCATTTTTTCCAAAAATTTCGCAAAACTGGTAAATGAAGATGTGAATTCAAATGGCTCGTTTGCAGCGCACAGATGACCATACGGTATGAAACTTGGTAGGTACATGAACACGGGCCTGCAGGGCTTATCTTAGAAGTTTTATTGAAAAATTATATGAATGAAGGTTGTGGCAAGCTTTTTTCTGAAAATTTCCCACTATCAAGAAAATGGAAAAATGGCTCGTTTGCAGCGCAGAGAAAACGAAATCGCGCGAGACTTGGTGTGTATACGCGCAGTACAATACCGCTCACATTTTTTGAAAAATAGACGCGAATGTATGGACATGTATGGACATGTACGGATATGTCCATACATGTATGGACATGTCCATACGTCAGCGTCGCGTGGCCATATCTCGCTTCAGAGTGGACAAATTCTGAATCCAAAGCCACCATTCGATTCAGCTTGGCGCGGAGAATCTTCTGATGTACTGGAAGTGGGGGTACGATGTCTTCGATATTCCGTTTCCAGTTTTTTCAATTTGTTCTGCGGAGGTCCTTTCGCGAATATGTGAAGCAACGCCTACCCAACATAGAAGACTTCACTGAGTACTATTCGTAATACTGTTCTTGTAGATTATTGTGCGCTAAAAAACAGGCTCAGACTTCTTTCCAGAGCAGATAGAAGCGTTGGTGAATTTTGGAAAAATCATGCGTTTGTAAATTCTACTCGCCATAACTTCCTTCGTAATTAGTATATTCTGAATCCGAAAACAGCGCCTTGCTCAGCTCGTCGAGGCGAATCTTCTTATTTTCAGCATGTCCTTGATATTTCGATTTCAGTATTCTTGAATCTTTCTGAGGACGTCTTTTCGCGAAGGTGTAAAGCAGCGAGCATTGTCCCGAGTACATTCCAGCAAGGATCTTTCGACAGCACTTTTTCTGTAGATTATGATGTGCTGAATAGTAGCCGCAGGTATTTCCAAAGGAAATAGAACGGCTGGTGAATTGTGGAAAAATCTTGTCGTCCCAAATTCTGTTCACCATAGCCCCCATGATATGAAGCTATCTTGTTAAGCAAATGTGAGTTTCGAAATCAGCAAGTCGCATAACCTCTGTGAGCAAGTTTTCCGATATGTTCGGGTTATTTCATATCTTCTCGTTTTAGGCTCCAGAAGCTCGCCGATGGATTTTGGTCAAAATGTTGATGCTCCTGAATTGTAAGGAAACTTCGCTTATGGAGGTTTTCGAACACGCTGATTACGAAAATCGTGGTCTTTGAGGATTACAGGGTCTTGTTGGAGAGATACGGTGAGGTGTGACTGTAACTGCATCACGAAGTGCGTAAATTTGCCCGTACTTCTCGCGTAAATTTCAGAAAACTTGCCCGCTTGTTTATATAATTTAAATTTACCGGGGAATATGCCATCGAATGGTGCATGAATCAGGCTCCAGTCTATAAAATTCGCCGAGTTGCGAGCCTACGAAAACACGTCCTCATGAATTTTGCCCAAAATGTAAAGATCGCATATCTCGTCGAAATTCCTTCGTGAGCGCTTGTATAACACACTGATCAAATCTTTTCACATTTTTAATGGATCTTCTTGTGTTAGATTTGGTGCTATTGAATACCAGTGCGTCACCTCTGCTTCGCAGAGGCTCGCACTGCTCTACTATCTAGGCTCTACTCATTCTCGCATAATGATGGCATTGGAACTCACCGAGCAATGCCAACTATCACGAAAAAAATGTAAACAACTACTCATTCCGAAAGCTTTCTTATGTGAAATTGGTGATTTTGCGTGGATGAGACTTTTTGCAGGAAAACAAATGTAAATTTTCATAGGTTTTTGATTTTTCCATGGTCTTTAAAGTTGCTATAAGAACAGCAGTCACCGTGAGCTACACTCTGTGCAAAAATCTAGTCAAAAGGTCTGGTAAGTTCTTGTGAAATTGACCATTTACGCAACCAATACTTTTTGGCGCCGTTTTTGTAAAGTAATGGACTTTTGATCACTTTTTTGAGCCTAAGTTCATGGCTTGCACATTTACTTGGCAAAAACATCTACGACTCTGGAAAAAGTGAAATTACGGACCCAATCTTGCAGCCCAAATGATGCAAGTGGATCCGTTTGACACGCAGTTTCTGAGGGATCTACTCAACGAATCTGCTCGTGCTTTTGCACGTTGGACTTTCATGCGGGTAACATGCGCTCTGCAAAATTTGAGCCCAGGAGGTTGGCTGGAACCCGCTCTATGAATTTCGTTACAGACAGACGGACACACACACACACACACACAAAGTCACGTAAACACCCTTAGCCCGTTATTATAAGTTGAATATGGAGTACTCTGCGTTGATACCACTGCTT